TCCTTTATTTGACTGTTTTGTAAGATGGGTGGGCTTCAACTCCCAGAATTCCCCAGCCAGCTTGCTTTACGGTGGGTGGACTTCAACTCCCAGAATTCCCCAGCCAGCATGTTTTAAGGTGGGTGGACTTCAACTCCCAGAATTCCCCAGCCAGCATGAGGTTGAGAAAACACTGCATTATACATTGGCTTGGATTAGTTGGGTTTTTAGTTCTGTATAGTTCTGCATTGGTTGGCTGGGGGCTTCCTGGGAGTTGAAGTCCACAGATCTTAAAAGCTGACAAAGGTTGGAAACTCCAGCTATAGAGTTAATCGGTTTTATTCTGTTTTTAAATTTTGTATTTATGTGTTTTATTCTGTGGCTGTTCACCGAGTCCTTCGGGAGTAGGGCGGTATACAAATCCAATAAATGAAATGAAATGAATGAATCCCACCATGAATTTTCGCTTTAGATTCTGGGCTGCCTTTTAATAGCACAAACCTCAGTTTCCCTTCCTGACGTTTACCTGAACTCTCCTCTTCGGATTCCGACTGGCTGGCGCTGCGTTCGTCCTCGCTCTCTTCCTCGCCGTTCATTTCTGTGGCCGAATCGCCTTCCCCTTCTATCTCCTTAGGCAGAGGCTGAACAGGCATGGCGGCGTTGACCGGATGTCAAAAGACGCCCAAACTGAAGGAAAGACGGACAGAAAAAGATCCAACTTGTAAGAGCGAACAAAGGCTGGATACTAATTTCAGAACCCAGGTAGTCCTCAGCTTATGACCACCACCGAGTTCAGAATTAATGTCGCTAACGGAGAAATCTGTTAAGTGAGTTTTGCCCCCGACTGTCCTCGTCACGTTTGTTAAACGAATCACTGCAGCTGTTCAATTAGGAACACCGTTGTTAAGCGAATCTGGCTACCCCCCACTGACTTTCCTTGTCAGAAGGTCACGACCCCCGGGACATTGCAACCGTCGTAAATGTGAGTCAGTTGCCAAGCATCCGAATGTAAATCATGTGCCCTTGTGGGACGCTGCAACGGTCGTATGTATGAAAAATGGCCACGGTTTTCAGTGTTGTTGTAACTTCGAATGGTCACTCAGTGAACTGTCGTAAGTCAAGGACTAGCTGTAATTTCTGATTCATTTAACAATCAGGTCAAGGAAGGTATTAAGCGAGGCAAAATTCACTTAACAAATACAAACAACGTAAATTTGGGGCTCAGTTGTGGTAGTAAGCCTGCATGTACTTAATCTCTCAGCTGCAGACTGCAGAAGTTTTAGATTTTTTGAGAACTCGAGACGATTCTGACAATCCAGCGGGCTAAAAAAATGCCCGTTGCACCAAAATTTGGTGTGCACTGGTGTGCAAAGCCGCCCAAAAGAACTCTTCCGTGCAAAAGAACTCGATGCGAGTCTTCCTCCAGTTGGGTGAATAAAAGCTTTGCTTTCCACTGTCGCTTCTGAGAATTTCACACAATTCTTTCCAAAGCAGAGTGTGGCTGCTTTTGCACTCTTTTAGTTGTGCCCTAAGAAAAGACTGTGCTTTCTTTTACTGCATCTGATTTTTCTTTACTTCCACTAAACACCAGATTATCCTGTGAGTAACCTGGCGAGGGGAAAGGGAGTCCAAGCTGCCAGGTAAGTAAGTAATGTACAGGTAAGCCCACAATTGAGCCCAAAGTCTTCATCGCTAAGCAAGACAATTATTAAGTAGGTTTTGTCTCGTTTTACGACTTTTCTTGCCACGGTTGTTGAGCGAAGCACTAGACCTGTCCAATTAGTTGACACGGTTGTTAAGTGAATCCAGCTTTCCCCATTGACTTTGCTTGTCGGAAGGCCGCAAACCGTCATAAATAGGAATCAATTGCCAATTTTGATCACGGGACCACGTTGCAATGGCCGCTAAGTGTGAAAAACACTCATCATTCCTCTTTTTTCCGGTGCCGTTGTAACTTCGAACCGTCGCTAAACGAATGGTTGTTAAGTCAAGGACTATCTTAGTCCTTGGGTAGTCATTACACAACTGAGAATTTTCTAGGGCTTCCCAATAAGGAGGGTCATTTGAGGCTAATCAATCAATCAATCAATCAATCAGAATAGACCCGAAAGGAACCTTGGAGGTCTTCTAGTCCAACCCCGTTCAAGCAAGAGACCCTATGCCCGTGATGGCGAACCTATGGCACGTGTGCCAGAGGTGGCACGCGGAGCCATATCTGAGGGCACGCGAGCATTGCCCTAGCTCAGCTCCAACACGTGCCGGCCAGCTGATTTTTGGGCCTTCCGGGCCGACTAGAAGTCAGGAAATGGGTTGTTTCCGGCCTTGGGAAGGCTGTTTTTGCCCTCCCCAGGCTCCTAGGAAGGCTTTGGAGCCTGGGGAGAGTGAAAAACAGGCCAACCGTGCCATTGCGTGCCAAAAGCAGGGGGAGTGCGGGGGGAGCACGCGCACATGCGCGGGAGGGTAGGGCGCGGGGGGCATTGAATTATGGGTGTGGGCACGCACGCACACAATCCCCCCGTGCTCCCACCCCCCCCCGCTTTTGGCACGCGATGGCAGAAAGGTTAGCCATCACTTCCCTATTTCTATTTCAAGAAAAGGGCTTCTCTAAAGCTTACGCCTGGGGCCGTGTGTCCCCAGTGTGGTACCCCACACATGCATGAGCTACAACTCCCATCGTTCCCAGCCGTGCTGATGGGAATTGTAGTCCCACGTAATTTGGAGAGACTCGAGACCCATCCCAGGCTTTATGACTTGTTGGTGAGTCTTCAGGTCCTCACTGACCATCATCTGCTCCCTAAAAACAATAATAAATATAATAAATTCCTTTGTTTTGCAAATGATTTGGACCAAATGGTATTTTAAATTAGCTGGCTTTACTGCTGCAAGTTTTTTAAGCTCCCCCACCCCCCCGATGCTTTTCAATGATGTCCTGCTGGACCACTTTTTAAGATGAAATTGACCATTGTTGGGAACTGCTAAGAAAATCAGGTATAGAAAACCCAAGATGTTATAAATGTTTATGAATAAAAACATCCATATTGCACCCTCCATCCTCTTTCTCTCCCCCCCCATAATGCAATGGACTAAACCACGTCCCCCTATTAATATGATGGGGGAAGAGATTACCAATTCCTTGAAATGGGGGGGGGAGAGAAAATAAAAAGGAAAAAAAAGTCAGAAATACGTTCCTCCCGCTACGATACGCCTTCAACGGGGAACGCAACGAGCAGAAGCCAATCTTACGTATATGCGCCTGTAGTACGTTCATACAAAAGCACAGACATGCAAATATATAACCCCTCCCCAACCCGGTTAGTGGTCTAATCCACAATTGCCCCGCCGCTCGCCCAAATGCATGAGATTGGAATGGGCGGGACCAACGAGCACCCAGAAAAAGGGGGGTGCTGGGAAAAGCGCCTGGACCCCCTTCATTACCTGGGGGAGGAGCCGCGCAAAGCGTAGACGCCGCTCGGGCTCCCTTCCGCAATCGGAAGTGGTCCTCGGTCGGCCCCGCCCACTGCTTTTAAACCAATCCGAGCGGCTGATAATGCCGGCCGTTGGAGGCGGCTTACATGTCTATGATCCTAGAACCTTCCAGCCACCACTCTGTGGTTGTTGGGTTTTTTTTTTGCTACACCGCATTGTGGGAAGCCGGAAGCGGAAAGAGGCGTTCCCATAGCAACCGAGAAAATAGAACCCTGGGAGCGGAAGGAGGAAAAATAAATAGTAAAATGAAAAAAAAGAGGAAAAACTGAAAAACTAAACAAAAAAAAGTGTTTCCCCCCTTCCCATATTTTAAAATAAGAGCCTTTTTGGAAAAGGATAAACCCCCAAATATCAATGCAGTATTGCAATGGCTACAGAGGCTATCTCTTATTTTTAATTCCCAAATAACAGGTGCATAAATTTTTTTTTTTTTTTTAATTTGATTTATATGCCGCCCTTCTCCGAAGACTCAGGGCGGCTTACAATGTGCTCAGCAATAGCCTTCATCCTTTTGTATATTTATACAAAGTCAGCTTATTGCCCCCACAAACTGGGTCCTCATTTAACCTACCTTAGAAAGGATGGAAGGCTGAGTCAACCTTGAGCCTTGGAGAGATTCGAACCAGCAGTAAATTGCAGGCAGCTGTGTTAATGACAGGGTGCACTAAACCACTGTAGTACCAAGGCTCTTTTTAAAGGGATACGATTTAAATTTTGAGGCTATGCATGAGGTGACTGGAGAAAGAAATCTAATAATAAAAATAATGTTAACTGGCAAAAGAAAGAGAAGTATTACTACTATCAGAAGTAATAGGTGCCTTGGTGCAATCCCAAAACAACTGGAGCATCATTTGAACACCATCGGCATTGACAAAATTCATGATCAGTCAATTGCAAAAGGCAGCTTTACTCAGAAGCAGCTTACATCCTTTATATATTATTAAACAACAATATCTGCCTATCCCAGGTCTTTGGGATAGGTAGTTAAAAATGCCAAATGCCAAGTCTAAATATCTGGCTGACTATGCAATGAATCGATAAGAAACATAAAAAAAATGTCTGGATGAACACTGCAATATCTGGAGAAAGCAGAAAAGAAGAACTGAAGATAATCAACAAACGAAGACCTGCAAATAGAATGACTGTGTCAAAAGAAAACAAAGATAGGACCAGTATCTCAAAATATTTGGAGTCCCATCTGAACATCATCGACATTGACAAAATCCTCATCAGTCAATTGCAAAAGGCAGCCTTACTTGGAAAAGCTTACGTCCTTCGATAATACCTTTAATACCCTCGCACATCCACATTTGCCTATCTCGGGTCCTTGGGAAGGACGTGATAAGTGGACAAAAAAATGTCAAATCCAATCTTAAACATCTGGCTCACTGTGCCACAAACCATAACAATACCTTATGCAAGAAGACTGTGCAAACTGATCATAAATAAAGGATATAACACAGTTCCAAAACGATTCACTGGAACATTTCTAAATACGGATTGGTAGCAAACGAACAGGACCAAAGCAACCCAAATTTGAAATTATTCACTTTAATGAACAGGTGGTTTGTTATTTTAAAGTACAGGGAATAATTTAAGCACTTCTCTTCCAGGACCTATGCAATCCTTTCTTATTGTGCAGAACAAGACACTGAGGTGGCCAGTTGTAGAAGGAAGGTCAGGCACAAAACGGAAGAATCTCGTTGCACAATGGTCTACTATTTCATGTCTCTCAGGGTTCAAAAGTGGAAGTTCTTTCCCATGTTCTCACAACATCATTTCATAATCTTGGACCTAATTCTGTCAGCCTGTAGTACAAAACGACAGTCAGAAACTGACTAATGCAGTGCAGCAATGAAACCAATGACAGCTTATTCGTACAAATTATACCGCAGGCAGAGTTTCTTCTCATCCTATTTGTAGCTCCACTCCAAGTCCACAGTAGCTGAATTTAAACTCTGCAAAATGCATTTCAACATCTCCGTGGCGATTCCGGGTATTTGCTCTTCAGCTCCTGCTTGAATTGTCGGAAAAGGATTTTGTTGCGCTGGTTCTCAGCATCCTTTTGCGCGTGGAATTCGCCCACCACCTTGAATCCCTTGTGAATCAAAAAGGCATTGCTCAGCACTGCAAACTGGTAGCCGGCAATATGGAGTTCGCAGGCCTGCCAGGAAAAGTGAAGAAAAGAAGAGGTTAATGAACGTGTGTGTCACCAATATCACTAGAGTCACCTTGTAAGAGAGATAGGCAGCATAAAAACAGATATAGATGATTGATACTGATAGACAGACAGACAGATATAAATTAGATAGACAGATGATAGACAGATGATATAGATATAGATGATAGACAAATGATAGATGGATGATAGATAGATGATATAGATTAGATAGATGATATATAGATGATAGATGATAGATGGATGTTAGATGATATAGATAATAGACAGATGATAGATATAGATATAGATATAGATTAGATAGATGATATAGATGATAGATAGATGATATATAGATAGTTTAGATAAATAGATGATATATAGATGATAGACAGACAGATAGATGATATAGGTGTCAGACAGATGACAGATAGATAGATGGATGATAGATGTAGATAGATAGATAGATAGATAGATAGATAGATAGATAGATAGATAGATAGATAGATAGATATAGATAGATGATAGATGATTGATAGATGATAGGTCTTAGACAATAACAATAACCATAGGATTTTGCTGGTTTCCTGACTTGGTTACCTGGCTGATCCGGTTAAAGCCGTACTGCTTGAAACGTTCGTCGTATGGAGGCACTGAGGTAGCCCCCACATAGAAGGGCTCCCAAGGGTCTCGCCATGCCACCTCGTAGGCCACACGCAGGGAGCCTCCCGCGGGAAGGTTCAACCAGTGGGAAAAGTTTGTGGGAGCCTGGCACCGGGGGCACAGCTCCTCGTAAAACGGCCGGATCTCCCCCACTTGATACAGCTGCACCAGCTCCGCTTTGCTAGCCGGAATCCGGCGCGTGTGACGGATCTCAAAGGCCGGCACCACAAACACCCGCGGCGTCCCCTCGTCGGTGGCTTTAGGCAAAACCAGGAAATCTTCTCGCAGACCCTCGCTGGGCACCATATCCATGTCGACCACCAGCGCCCAGTGCCCGCCGGCTGCCTCTCTGGCTACGTTGCGCAGCAAGTTGTTGGGATACGAAACATTGGCAACGTCCATGGCATAGTTACGCCGGCCCGCCCCTAGCTGTGCCAGCTTGGCAAAAACATCTCCGCAGGACTGGAGACGGGCGAATTCCCCCTCGTCCTGGTCCTGCTCGGGGAAGGAAGCCATTTGGTTGGCAGGACACACCAGGTGCAGCCGAAGCCACTGCCGGAGAGGGGCACACAGGATGGCTAAGGCGTAGACCATCGCCGTGGCCTGGCGCACGTCGTCAGTGCCCGGCGCGAAGAGGGCCACCGAGACTGGCCCGTGCCAGCGCTCCACCAGCTGCTGAGAGTGATGCAGGTTGCCCAAGCTAGTGTGGGTTACCAGTACCACGTCCTGCCGGTCCTGTCCATCCCAAGAAGCCCGCAGCATGTCCCGGTAGATGCGGTACTGCCCGCTGGCGTCCAGGATGCCTCCGCTAGCCAGCACCGGCTTGAGCCTCTGCTTGTGCCCGTTGCTTGGCACGGCATGGCGCGTCTGGAAAAGCTGGGCGTAGCGCGACCGCTGCTCCTGTCCATGCCAGCCGGAGAGCAGAGCCAAATAAAGCAATTGCAAGCCGGCCACCAGTCCCAGGGCCAGGATGAGCGCTTGGAAACAGGAGCAGGTCATGGGTGGGGCGAAAGGGGGAGCAAGCAAGCCCAAGCCTCAAGCTTGGCCCATTGGCTCTCCCCGTGGCGCCCTTTCCCTCTTTGCAAAAGGTCGCGCGAGCAAACCTTGCAAAATGCTTCTCAGTGCCAGGCTTGCAAATCGAAAGTGGGGGGGGAGGCGTGTGGGAGGGGGCTTGCTCTCCAAGAGGCTCCCTCCAGCGCCCCCTGCTCAGCAGGAGGAAGCAGTGCAAACGTAAAAAGCAGCTTCTGCAACCCCCCCCCCCAAAAAAAACCTTCCCTTCCCCCTCCTTTTTTTGCTTTTTGCAGCGCCCGCCGGTTCGCCGTTGTCTTTGGCGCGCGATCCCCGGCCGCTTCTCCTCCGCGTGGGTTTTGCGCGCGTGGGAGGGAGTCGGTGGGCTTTGCTTACCGGGGAGGGGGTGGGGGGCTTAGTATGTTTTTGGGGGGTTGCATTGGGGAGGGGAGGCGGGAGAGGGTTTGCAACGGGACGATTGCAAGGAATCGGAAAGCAGGAGCATCGTCCCCGATTTTCTTTTTTTGCAAAAAGGGTTGTTTCTTTAATCATGGTTTGCAAGCAAGCAAGCATGCAAGCATAGACCAGGTGGAAAACGAACCCTGTTCCGTGAGACGAGGTGGCCGAGTGGTTAAGGCGATGGACTGCTAATCCATTGTGCTCTGCACGCGTGGGTTCGAATCCCACCCTCGTCGCTACCGTTTTGGATACCTTCCCCCAAAGTGACTTTATAATTCTGCTTTGCAACCCCGTGAAAAGCCGGTTTAAAAGCAAAAAAAAAAAAAGGGGGAAACGTCCATCCTTTGCAAGGGTCTTCCTCCAAGGGAAGGAGTCTTTTCTCTTTTGGGGGGTGCAGTCCTGGCTCTCCACCCCAAGATTGATGGGAGCCGTTGTTATAGGAGGAGCTCTGCATTGCATAAACCCTCCAGCAGGTGCGCTGGGATTTGCAAAAAAAAAACCAAACCCATAATCCCCAACAGGAAGTGGAGCCCTTTTGCAAGGGCCAGATGTGGAAAGCTGGAGGGGGGGGGGAGGAGGGCTCGGCTCCTGCAGGACAAATGCCCCCTTCTCCCCCAATCCATGCAGAAAATGTACAGTAGTGGCCAAAATTGTGGAAACCTTTTGGGAAAAGTGTATTTTTGAGGTTTGATAGCTAATAACACCACTTTTTTTTTGGAGTTTCAAGATAATCCTATTCCGCTGCTGGAATGGCCTGGGAATAGCCCAGATCTTCTTAACCCAATGGAAAATCTATGGAGCCGACTAAAGAAACTGGTTAGTCAGAAGCGACCCAGCAATAAAACCCAGTTAATAGAAGCCAGCATTCCATCTTGGTTTCACATGATAACAGCTGCAGAACTCAAAGATTTGATTCACTCCATGGGAAGACATCATAAGGCCATAATTCATGCTAAAGGTTACCCAACAAAGTATTAACTGACATGGGGATCATTTTTGTCTATCTCGTTTTTTCTACGGTGATCATTTTTGTCTATCTCGTTTTTTCTACGTGTTTCCCTTCTTTCTACTGTAACTGCTATTCTAATAGCAAATCCTTCCTAAAAGTGATTGCATTACATTCTGGATTAAATTATCTTTCCATCGATATATATATAATTTTATGGTACTACTCCCAAAAAAAAAAAAAAAGTGGTATTATTAGCTAGTTTTAGAAAATACACTTTTCCCAAAAGGTTTCCAATGCTGGTAGCATCTTTTAGCTCCTTAAAAGGAGATTTACAAGCCATTTTATGTGCCGAGAACACAGGAAGAGTTTTCATCGAACTACATTCTTAATCTTAAAAAACAAACCCTCCTTTTCATCCATATATTTGTTTTTTTGGTCAATTTGCTTTTTCGGACGAATCTTAAGGCCCTGCAACTGGAGTGGGGAAATTATTTTAAAGCATTTCCTTCTTGTGGCGGAAATAGTTCTCCAAGTGACGTACGAAGTTGAGGAAGACTGAGAGTCTATTCAGAAATCCACCGTTTACCACAACTTTTACACAACTCAGTTTTCCAAATTTGCACAACATCCTCCTTGTACTAGTGGCACACGATGTTCTTTCTGCAATCTTTCAGCCGTACAGGAACAGGTTCCTGTGGATTTTTTTTGGAGAAACGTTACCAAACACGAGACCAGTTTTGACAAACCATTCTTGTTCGGGACGATTTCTTTAATCCAGGGATCAGCAACCTGCAGCTCCGGAGACCCCTGCTTTAATCTGTTTGCAATTGGGAGATGCTTCACTCTCATTTTTCTGGGGTGTTAATTTAATAAAAACGGACACCTTTTTTTTAAAAAAAAATATATATTTATTAGCACGTTCCCCATATCCACTCGAGGCAACAATAAAATAATAATTATTTTTTTTAAAAAAAAAATCGATATAATGTACATGCAAGGAAGATTTCCCTTTTGAAAACACAAAAGACGCACGCTTTGAAGTTTTTGTCCTGATTTAAACTGGCTCGCTTACTAGATCTGTTCAAAATGGGAAAAGACAAAAGGTCACGTCCCTGTTTGCGAATTTCGCCATCTTTGGAGCCATCCAACCATCAATAAAAATTAGGATGCACTTAATATCACGACGAAGACGATAAGGAAGTTATGGTTCTAGATCTGGAAGTCCTCTAAGATCCCAAACCGTGGCCTAACCAGCATCCCTGTAAAGGAATCTACTGGCTCCTCTTAAGGGATCCTTTCCTGCCATGTTTGGGATGGCACTTCCCAGAATTCTTAGCCAATCTGCCTAAAGACAAGGGGATTCTGGGAGTTGCAGTTCCCACACATCTAAAAGACAAGAATTTAAGACTAAGATTGATCTAAATTTACCCACTAACTGCTATTAGGGCAGGATTTTAGGCGATATATATTTTTCACGGAGGAAATAAATTATCGTTTAAACCAAGACTGTCCAATCTTGCAACTATGAAGACCTGTGGACTTCAATTCCCAGAATGCCTAAGCAGCCAACACAGAGAATTCTGGGAGTTGAAGTCCGTGAGGTCTTCAAAGTTGCCAAAGTTGGACACCCCTGGTTTAAACTGTCCCTTGACCCAATAACAGGACAGGTATAGCTATATATGGATGTTTTTCTCACCCCCCCCCCAAGAAAAAACAGCTTTAGTTGAGTTTAGTTCACTAAGCAGAACAGATGAGAGGTAGTGACCAAGTAACCAGTTACTCCATAGTTCCTTTTCTAATTCAGTTTTCCGTTTACATGCACACAATCTGCATTCTATTTTGATTCAAATGCCGAGTGAAATCGGACCAGTGCTACTCAAACGCTGCACAGCCCTCGCCTGAACCCCAAAAATGTTTATCCCAGGATATAAGAACCTGGCCCTGTTCTTTATCTTTATCCCAAGATGCCTCTCCAACTTATTTTGGGGGCTCTTTCTTCATTTTCGGTTCACCTAGGACAGTGATGGCTAACTTTTTTGCTGTCGCGTGCCAAAAGCGTGGGGGAGCGTGGGGGGGTCACGTGTGCGCGTGCCTACACACATAATTCAATGCGCCCCGCGCATGTGCATACAACCCCCCCGTGCTCCCCTGTTTTTGGCACACAATGGCACGGTGGGCCCGGTAGACCCATTTTTCGCCCTCCCCAGGCTCCAGGGTCTTTCTTGGAGCCTGGGGAGGGCGAAAACAGCCTTCCCCACCCTCCCAGAAACAGCCCGTTTCCCGACTTCCGGTGGGCCCGGAAGGCCTGAAAATCAGCTGGCCGGCGCGCACACGTGCACTGGAGCTGAGCTAGGGCAACGCTAGCGTGCGCACAGATATGGCTTCGTGTGTCACCTGTGGCACACGTGCCATACGTTCGCCATCGCGGATCTAGGAAATTTTCCCCCCACTCTTTTTCAAACTTGTTTCAGCACAGTCTGCCACGTAGGGAGAACCGATGCCTGCAGAATTAGCTCTGACCCGAATTATCTAATATCTCCTGCTTGGGCAGGGGGTTGGACTAGATGACCTATAAGGTCCCTTCCAATTCTGTTAATCTGAATCTAATCTGAATCTTCCGGATCTCCTGCAATTTAGAGACAAATTTAAGGAGTCATCACCATTAATTCTTTCTTTCCTTCCTGGAAAAGTTGAGAGCTGTGGGGTTTTTTTTCCCCCCCCCGGTCCAACTCGGTCCCTTTTTGTCATCCAAGTTACTAGTCCTGTAGGTTTTGGCAATACATTCCCAGGGTGCCAAAAACGACCCAAACGAGGGAGAATGGGAATGAGACCGTTTTGCAAAAATGCCAGCTGCAAAAATCCAGAATGTTCCTTTCCGCAATACATTCAAATGTCTGCAGAAAAAGACGGGGCTAAGCAGAATGTTGCATATATATATATATATATATATTCTTCCTCATCACAAAGGGAGATTTCATAGCTGCCATGTGGAGGGGGCTTGGAGGAAAATCGTGGGGGGGGGGGGGCTCCCCCTCAGCCGCCCCTGAAGCCTTCAAGAGATACGGAGGCAAAATCTTTGCAATCTTGAAGTTGTTGCCAGGTGTCGGAGTGGCAGGAGGGAGTCCGTCAAAGGAGCAACTTGAGGAGGAAGGAGAGGGCTGCCCCACAGGAGAGGCCCAATGCCAGGAAAAATGTCATGATGGCCCCCCACCAGCTCACTCTCTTCCGGCTGGACCTGCCTGGAGGAGAGAATTAATGTCCCAAATTGAAGGTCATAGAAATTTCTTCCTTCCTTTCCTCCATCTTTTTCTTCCTACTATCTTTTCTTCCCTCCCTCCATTTTTCCTCCTTTCTCTTTCCTTCCTTCCTTCCCTCCCCTTTTTCTTCCTACTATCTTTTCTTCCCTCCCTCCATTTTTCCTCCTCTATCTTTTCCTTCCTTCCCTCCCTCTTTTTCTTCCTACTGTTTTCTTCCCTTCCTCCATTTTTCCTCCTTCTCTTTTCCTTCCTTCCTTCCCTCCCTTTTTCTTCCTACTATCATTTCTTCCCTCCCTCCATTTTTCCTCCTTCTCTTTTCCTTCTTTCCTTCCATCTTTTTCTTCCTATCTTTCTTCCCTTCCTTCCTTTTTCCTCCTCTATCTTTTCCTCCCTTCCCTCTTTTTCTTCCTATTATCTTTTCTTCCCTCCCTCCATTTTTCTTCCTTCTCTCTTTTCCTTCCTTCTTTACTCCTTCCCTTTTCCTTCCTTCTCCCTCCATCTTTTCCTTCCTTCCTTTTCCTTCCTTCTATCTTTTCCTCCCTCCCCCTCCATTTTTCCTCCTTCTCTCTCTTTTCCTTCCTTCCTTTTCCTTCCTTCTATCTTTTCCTCCCTCCCTCCATTTTTCCTCCTTCTTTCCTTCTATCTTTTCCTCCCTCCCTCCATTTTTCCTCCTTCTCTCTTTTCCTTCCTTCTCTCTTTTCCTCCCTCCCTCCATTTTTCCTCCTCGTTTATCTTTTCCTTCCTTCCTTCCACCTTTTTCCTCCTTCTATCTTCCTTCCTTCCTTTCCTCTACCCAACTCCAACTTATGCTGGGCAGCTCGGAACTGGCACTTGGCACTTCCTGCTGGCTTCCCCAACTGACTTGACTGTGGGAAGCCGGCAGGAAATCACCTCGCTGATTAAGGTGCGATTCGGTGAAGAAGCCAGCCACCGGAACTGCAGCGACTGCCATCAAAAAGGGGGTACACTTAGCGTTACAACCATTTTGCTTACTGACAGAAATCCCAATTCCCAATTGCTGTTACAAGTCAAGGACTATTCTGTAATCACAACAAAACATCACAACTGGGGACTCCTCATCCCAAAGCCAGGTTTTTAAACATTTCTGGAACATCTTTGGGATGGGAGCCACAGAAATCTTCTGGGGGGAGGACCTCATTCCAGTGGGCAGGCACCGCTACCGAGAAAAGGATGGGGAATTATGGATTGTACACAGCAACTTATAGAATCATAGGAGTGGAAGGGACCTCGGGAGGACTTCTAGTCCAACCCCAAGCAGGAGACTCTATATACCAGTGTTTCTCAACCTTGGCAGCTTTCAGACGGGTGGACTTTCAACTCCTAGAATTCCCCAGCCAGCAACTGTTGGTTGGGAAATTCTGAGAGTCGACGTCCACCCATCTGGAAAACTGCCAAGGTGGAGAAACGCTGCTCCGTATGATCCCAGACAAATGGCTGCTCAAAACCCTCCGGTGATGGAGCATCCACAGCTTCTGGTGGCAGGCAGTTCCACTGGTTAATTGTTCTCACTGTCAGGAAATTTCTCCCCAGTTCTAGGTTGGATCGCTCTTTTTTTTAAAAAAAGAGCTTCCTTTTATATCCCACGGGTTGCCCTCAGGATCCCGAACCCATCCTCCTCCTCCTCCTCCTCTTCCTCCTCCATTTTGAGGAGCAATCTTACTCACTTGGGGGCCAGGGACATGGTGAGGGAGACGAAGTAGCCGTTGGAGAGGGAAAAAACCACCATCAGGACGACAAACCAGGCGTCGTGGTGAAAAAGGACAGGCCACTCGGTCTGCCTCGGGATGTTGCAGAAAAGAAACATGGGGATGAGGAAGACGCGCAGGCCCACTGCGGCGGGAAGGAGCCGAAGGTGCTTCTGCGGCTGGCGAGAGAGAGAGAGAGAGAAAAACCATGTTTTCAACAGAGCCTGTACATAAAACACATTATTTATTTATTCATTTGTATCCCACCTTTTATTCTTTTTACGAATAACTCGGGACGACGGCAAACGTAGCCGACAAAAGCTTCCTTCTCCTATTTTTCCCCACAACAACAACAATCCTGTGAGGTGGGCTGGGCTGGGAAACAGAGGCACTGGCTCATTGTCATCCAGCTAGTTTTTATGCCTAAGGAGGGACTAGAATTCACCGTCTCCTAGTGGTTGGCCCAAATTCACCCAGTTGGCTTTTGTAGCTGAGGCGGGACTAGAATTCACCGTCTCCTGGTGATTGGCCCAAAATCACCCAGTTGGCTTTCGTAGCTGAGGTGGGACTAGAATTCACAGTCTCCTGGTGATTGGCCCAAAATCACCCCGTTGGCTTTCGTAGCTGAGGCGGGACTAGAATTCACTGTCTCCTGGTGATTGGCCCAAAGTCACCCAGCCAACTTTCCTCCCTAAGGTGGGACTAGAATTCACCGTCTCCTAGTGATTGGCCCAAAATCACCCCGTTGGCTTTCGTAGCTGAGGCGGGACTAGAATTCACCGTCTCCTGGTGATTGGCCCAAAGTCACCCAGCCAACTTTCCTCCCTAAGGTGGGACTACAATTCACCGTCTCCTTGTGATCGGCCCAAAATCACCCAGTTGGCTTTCGTAGCTGAGGTGGGACTAGAATTCACAGTCTCCTGGTGATTGGCCCAAAATCACCCCGTTGGCTTTCGTAGCTGAGGCGGGACTAGAATTCACTGTCTCCTGGTGATTGGCCCAAAGTCACCCAGCCAACTTTCCTCCCTAAGGTGGGACTAGAATTCACCGTCTCCTGGTGATCGGCCCAAAATCACCCAGTTGGCTTTCGTAGCTGAGGTGGAACTAGAATTCACCTCTCCTAGTTGCTAGCCTGATGCTTCAACCAATAGACCAAACTTTTATTTCCTATCCCCTTAACTCTAAAAAGGAAGGGAGCTTAAAAAAATTGACCCCCAAATTTCTGCTGCTAAGTGAGACAGTTGTTAAGTGAGTTTTGCCCCATTTTCTGACCTTTCTTGCCACCGTTGTTAAAAGAATCACCGCAGCTGTTAAATTGTTAAGTAGCTTCCCTACTGACTGCTCGTCAGGTGGTCACCAAAGGTGATCCCTTGACCCTTGGACACTGCAACAGTCATAAATATGAGTCAGTTGCCAAGCATCCGAACTTTGGTAAGGATGCTGCAGGAGTCATAAGTGTGAAAAACGGTCCTAAGTCACTTGTTTCAGTGCCGTTGTAACTTCGGTCACTAAACGAATGGTCGTAAGTCAAGGAATACCTGTAGGCCCGCCTTTGATCTCCCCACCCCACCCCGATTCCTTCAAGACGATATCTGGTCTTCCCCTCCATGGGAAAAACAGCGTAGATGAGAATGTATCCCACTGCTACCACCAATTGCTCACCCAGAGGAAGTAGGAAGTCGAACTCCGGCCCAACCAGTCCATGACGTTGAAGAGAAGGAAGCAGCAAACGGGAGTGAAGAACTTCTCTAAGGTGGGGAGAAGGTGGGGAGACCCACAGAAGAGTTAGACCGTGTTAACTCAGCCCTCCGAGTCCCAGACAGAGACAGTTTTCAGTAAACCAAGAATCAACCAAGACTCAACAACGCCGACAGGGCAAGCCACTAGAATATAAAGAGGGCAAATTCCACTCCCTACTGGCGCTGATGATGTTACCTAGTTGGGTCCTGAAAAGTCTATAAGCTCAGAGAGCACCAAGGAGCCCGGAGTAAGGAGAAATATCCTGACGGTTAGAACAATTAATCAGTGGAACGACTTGCCACCAGAAGTTGTGAATGCTCCAACACCGGAGGTTTTTAAGAAGAGATTGGACAGCCATTTGTCTGAAATGGGATAGGGTCTCCTGTTTGAGCAGGGGGTTGGACTAGAAGACCTCCGAGGTCCCTTCCAACTTTGTTATTCTGTTATTCTCCTCCTCCTCACTCCCTTCTAGCACTGATGATGTTCCCTAGATGCCTGCAAGAAGCTCAGAGACCATCAAGAACCAATATTCTTCCTCATTCCCCTCCTCCTTCACCTCCCTTCTATTAATGACGTTACCTAGCTGGGTCATGAAACCTCTGCGAGAAAACCAAGCTCAGAGAGCACCAAGGATCTCCTCGGGGACGGCTCTTTCCCACCACCTGATCTTCAACTTGGAGATGCGTTGAGGAGTGGATCCCCTTCCCCAAATCCCCATCTCATCCCTGTCCCAGCTCCGGTCAACGCAAACCAGCCCCTTCCCCTTCCTGCCCTGTAATCAAATGACCCATCACTCACGCCAAGACTGGTCCCGAGAGGAGCTGGCGATTCTCGTGGTAATAGCCGGAAACACCGAGAGGGTAATGGAGAAGTCCATAACGATGGACAGGGCCAGCAGCCAAATCTGAAGGGGGAAAAGCAGAATCCGCAATGTGACATGAGCCGCGTTCACTATCTGGATCACTATGTGGTCTCCCTTCCACCAGCATCAAATGGAGCACGGTTCCAGAGCCAACTGAGTCCCCGTATAAAGGCAATCTTCTATCAGGTGCACATGTACGACAGAACTCCAGAAGTTCGGCTTTTCTGGAGCGTGATCTCTTCGCACATGCCGCAGTGCCGAAAACCGGCCTGTGCATAAGCGCCAGCCAGCTGATTGTTGGGCGCGCATGTGCACTAGAAGCCGGAAGTCCAGCTTTTCCGGAGCGAGGCCCCAACGAGCGCACATGCGTAACGTTTCCGTGTGACCTTTTCGGCCCTTGGTGCCATCACTAGTCTATATTTTCTCTATTGAGAGCAGGCCACAAAATTTCATTTTTTTATGTCGGCCAATGTGCTCACAGTAAAATGACAATAAAGTTTATCTTATCTCGTTCACTCAACTGTTTAGCGTATGGTTTAGCATCCAGAACCCGATCATCTATCTATATCTATATATCTATATATCTATATATTTATTTTTCTGAGGTTTTCACGGGTGTTTGTATGTAGGTCTTTGGTTATTTGGGTTTTCTCCCGCGTAAAATTGGAAGTGCCTTGGCGACGTTTTGACGAAGTCTCATTCGTCATCTTCAGGCTGGTGTTTTCGGCTTCGGGCTTCTAGGAGCAATGTGTGATTGCAGCTGTTTCTTCCTTTTAACTGCCAGTGGGGATGTAAACTGATTGGGTGGGAGCTTGGCTGTGTTCTGATTGGGTGGAGGTGTGTTCTGATTGGTTGGGGGTTCTAATTTTATGCGGGAGAAAACCCGAATAACCAAAGACATATGCATATACATACATACATACATACATACATACATACATACATATATATATTATTTATACATTTTTCTTTAACATACATTGGTGCTTAATAAACAGTGTATTATCTGGGTCAATTTACTTATACATAGTAATAAGGTAAAGGTAAAAGTTCCCCTCGCACATATGTGCTAGTCGTTCCCAACTCAAGGGGGCAGTGCTCCTCTCTGTTTCAAAGCCGGAAAGCCAGCACTGTCCGAAGACTTCTCCGTGGTTCTGTGGCCGGCATGACTCAACGCCAAAGGTGCACAGAACCCTGTTCCCTTCCCACCAAAAGTGGTCCCTATTTCTTGCATTTTTTACGTGTTTTTGAACTGCTAGGTCGGCAGAAGCTGGGACAAGTCACGGGAGCTCACCCCGTTACGCGGCACCAGGGATTCGAACCGCTGAACTGTCGACCTTTCGATCGACAAGCTCGGCGTCTTAGCCACTGAGCCACTGCGTCCCCTTTATTATCTAACCATTGGTCAAACAAATGTTTCTTACCTTCTTGAGCACACTGAAAAGGGAGGGGTTGGGGGCAATCATGCCCACCTCACTCCCCCCATTCATGATTTCTGGCGGGCAAGCCGAGCCACCCTTCTCCATGACCACGGCGTTCCCGTTCTTCACGTTGAGCGGTTCTCCTTTGGAACTGTCTGCCACAAGAGCGGAGCCGTTCTCTGCAGAGACATAAAAGCAAGGGCCCCAGTCCGAATCAAATGACGTTGCGACTTTTTAAGGCAGTCCTCGATTTACGACAGTTCCTTTAGTGACCGTTCGAAGTTACACCACCACCGAAGCAAGTGACTTACGACCGTTTTTTCCACACTTACGCCCATTGAGGCCTCCCTCTGGTCATGGGATCAAAATTCAGACGCTTGGCAACTGGCTCCTATTTATGCCAGATTCACTTCATAACCATGTTGCCAATTTAATAGCTGCGGTGACTCACTTAACAACGGTGGGAAGAAAGGTCATAAAATGGGGCAAAACTCCCAACTATCTTGCTTAGCAACAGAAATTGGGGGTTCAATTGTGGGCATAAGTCGAGGACTACCTGTAAAACCAAGGATTCTCGAGCGTTGTTGGGGGGAATGGACTTCAGATTCCATAACTTTTCAGCTTACAAACTCTCCATAAATAGGAATATAGTGGTTATAGGAATAGTGATTCATTTAGCATCCGTTCAAAGGCGACTTACAACTGGTCCTCACACTTACAACAATCAAAACTTCAACTGGAATTTATACGTGACAGGTACTCCTCGAGTTACAACAGTTCCTTTAGGGACCGTTCGAAGTTGCAACAAGTGACTTACGACCGTTTTTCCACACTTACAACCATTGCGGCAATCGACTCGTATTTATGACGGTTGCCGTGTCCGGCAGGTCACGCGATCGCCATTTTCAACCTTCTGACAACCAAAGTCGGGTGTGTACGTGTCAAATTTGTTCGATGACCCTGTGATTCACTCACCAACTGCACTGATCCGCTTAACGACGGTGGCAAAGATAGTCGTAAAATTGGAGGCAACTCGCTTAGCAACCGCTTTGCTTAGCCAAGGAAATTCTACTCCCAACGGGGGAGGCTGTGAGTTGAGCGCTAACTTTAAGTGAAATCTACGCCGCTCTCACCCCACCCAAAATCTATTTATAAATCTGGAAATTTACCTGTTTGGACTAGTTGGTGGTGATTGCTGGAAGGTTATTTAGAGAGGAGGACATATGCCAAAATGGCTACGGCCCAATTCTAATTTGATTTATTTTCAACCAGGCTGATGATTCATACTCATTCGCTGTGCACTTAATAGTTTTCCCTTGATGCAGCAGAAAACGCCCCTTAAATTTAGATTATTTCAAAATATTAAGCCAGCCTCTGCAAACAGGTTGCAGAACAACGAACGGAAAAATCCGAAATGAAATATTCGTCTCTACTGTTTGTTTTTTCCCTTCTTTCTTTTTCTTCTAGTTTTAACATGGATAAATAAGAATATAGCAGGCTTTTAGATCAGGCTCAAAAAATGTATACAGGTAGTCCTCGACTTACGACCAATATTGAGCACCAATATTCCCGCTGCTAAGTGAGACTGTTAAGGGAATTTTGCCCCATCTTATCCTTTTTCTTGCCACAGTTGTTAAGTGAATCACTGAAGTTGTTAAGGTAATCACACCATTGTTAAATGAATCTGGCTTTTCCACTGGAGAATTCTGGGAGTTGAAGTCCATCCATCTTAAAGCCTGCTGGCTGGGGAATTCTGGGAGGTGAAACCCACCATTATTAAAATTGCCAAGGTTGAGAAATATTGCTTTCAGCCTTCAACTAAGATGTTAGATTTTGGATAACGGAGGGGAAAACAACCAGTCAAATTCCTTTTGATCGGTCCATTTGTCTTTTGGACTTTATTTCCCAGAATTCTGAGTCCAGCACCGGAAGATCAGCAGTGCTGGGAAAGGCTGATTTGGATCGCAGGACCAAAATATTTAAAAGAACATGAAATATCTCCACCCCCCCCCAGCAGTTCGATTTTTGACAACTTTTCAATTCTCCCCATAAAAAAAATAATAATAAAAAATCAGATGTTGATAGTGGGGGCACCCACTATCTGGAACGAGCTCCCCCCAGAGATACGGAGGATCCCGGATCTACGCACTTTCCGCCGTGCTCTTAAAATTCTTCTATTCCAGCAAGCCGGCCTGGCCTAATTTTCTCCCCTGTTTTAAAATTCTTTTACATCGAAATTTTAATTTGTTTTAAATTATTGGGATTTTTTAATTGTCTTGGGCTAAATTATTTAATCTGTTTTAATTATATCTTTTAACTTTTGTATTTATGTATTTTATTTTGTGCTTGTTCACTGCTCTGAGTCCTTCGGGAGTAGGGCGGTATATAAATCTAATAAAAGAAAAGAAAAAAGAAAAGAAAAGAGATGTCCCACCTGGAGAAAGGAGACCTGCCTTGGTCTCCAGTTCACATCTCGAATCTTCTGGTGGCCTCTTGTCCAGATAGTAACGAGTGAAGGTCTGCAGAGAAAGAAGAGGAGCCGATGGTCACCTCGACGGTCAAAATCAGCTTCTCAGGAAGCTATCAGTGTATACACTTTTATATCATAAAATGGAAGTAATAACAAGAGAAAACGTGGAATAATTGTACAATGATCGACTGCAACCTAACGTAAGCGTGTATTATTATTAGAAATACAAAAGTTGATTGAATGTAATAATTATGATTAACCTGATTAGTTTTATTTGTATTTGAATGTATGACACCCAGGTGTTCATGCATCGATTTGATATTTTTTATAAAAAATAAAAAAACTTGAAGGAAAAAAAAAAGAAAAGAAGCTAAGCTAAGGTTCTTACTGGATGGAGCACCACCAGGAAATCCCAGAGCTTGAGAACTGACTTAGAACTTGAAAATTTTCCCTGGAGAACCAGGGGAATTTTAAAACAACTTTTATAAGGCCTTGGTAATGCCATACTTGGAATACTGCATCCAGTTTTGGTCTCCACAATATAAATAAGATGTTGAGACTCTGGAAAGAGTGCAGAGAAGAGCAATTAAGATGATTAAGGGGGCTGGAGATTAAAACATACGAAGAACGGTTGCAGGAATTGGGTATGTCTAGTTTAACAAAAAGAACAGCGGAGACATGATAATAGTATTCCAATATTTGGGGGGGTTGCCACAAAGAAGAGGGGGTCAACTTATTCTCCAAAGCACCTAAAGGCAAGACAAGAAGCAACGGATGGAAACTAATCAAAGAGAGAAGCAACCTGGAATTAAGGAGAAATTTCTTAGCAGGGAGGACAATTAACCAGTGGAACTGCTCGCCACTAGAAGTTGTGGGTGCTCCATCACTGGAGGTTTTTAACAAGAGTGTAGACAGGCATTTGTCTGAAATGGTGTAGGGCCATGATGGCAAACCTATGGCCATATCGGTGGGTGCGCGCATCTGTTTTTCGGGCCTTCCGGGCTCACCAGAAGTCGGCAAATGGGCCGTTTCCAGCCTCTGGAGGGTCTCCGGGGGGATGGGGAAGGCCCGTTTTTGCCCTCTCCAGGCTCCTAGAAATCCTCTGGAGCCCGGGGAGGGCAAAAAGCAGGACTTCCGTTTCCACCGGAAGTAGACAAACAGGTTGTTTCCGGCCTCTGGATGACCTCCAGTGGGGTGGGGAAGGTCAGTTTTTGCCCTCCCCAGGCTCCAAGAAATTGTCTGGAGCCCGGGGAGGGTGAAAAACGGGACTTCCATTTCCACCGGAAGTAGACAAACGGGCTGTTTCCGGTCTCTGGAGGGTCTCCGGGGGGATGGGGAAGGCACGTTTTCGCCCTCCACAGGCTCCAAGAAATCCTCTGGAGCCCGGGGAGGGTGAAAAACGGGACTTCCATTTCCGGAAGTAGACAAACGGGCTGTTTCCGGTCTCTGGAGGGTCTCCGGAGAGATGGGGAAGGCCCGTTTTTGCCCTCCCCAGGCTCCAAGAAATCCTCTGGAGCCCGGGAAGAGCAAAAAACGGGCCTACAGGGCCCACCGTGCGCCAAAAGTTGGGGGGAGCGCAGGAGGGTCATATACGCATGCGCGGGGCGCATTGACCCCCCCTCCCACGCTCCCCACGCTTTTGGCATGCGACGGCAACAAGGTTAGCCATCACTGGTGTAGGGTCTCCTGCTTGAGCAAGGGCTGGACTAGAAGACCTCCAAGGTCCCTTCCAAATCTGTTATTCTGTTAAGTGGGACAAAGGATCTTACCTGATGGGGCAGCAAGAGGTAACAGGCAATAGAAAGTAAGGTCCCAACACAGGGGGTGACGAAATAGATCAGGGCAGAAGACAGGAGATTCAAGCCACCTAAACAGAAGAGAAAAAAATGGTGTTTTGGCAAGACAAATCCAGGGCTTTGCAACTCTTCAGGCACAGGACACAACCCCTCCGTTCTCAACAGCTTATTTATTTATTTATTTTAGATAAATTGGATGTTTTAATTTGTTTTTTTGAGCCTAAATTATTTAATCTGTTTTTAATAGTTTTTTAACTTTTGTATGTCTTCGTATTTTATTTTGGCTGTTCACCGCCCTGAGTCCTTCAGGAGTAGGGCGGTATACAAATATGATAAAATAAATAAATAAAATAAAATAAACAGCTGACTGGTCCAACCTTAAACCCCTGCGCCATCAGAGGCTTTTGTTTTGTTTTGTTTTAAAAGCATTTCTTCTACTACCTCTTCGGCCGAAAAAATGCTTTTAAAAGTTTTTTTTTTTTTTAAAAGCCTCTGACGACCGCGCGGCTCAGCCGGGATCGTCAGAGGCTTTTCAAAGCATTTTTTTCTGCAACCTCTTCGGCTGAAGAGATTGTAGAAAAAATGCTTTTAAAAGTAAAAAAAAAATCCTCTGATGATCAGGCAACTCAGCTGAGATGTCAGAGGCTTTTAAAAGCATTTTTTTTTACACCCTCTTCGACCGAAGAGATTGTAGGAAAAATGCTTTTAAAAGTAAAAAAAAAAAAGAGCCTCTGATGATCGCGCGGCTTAGCTGGGCATTGGGGGGGGGGCAGGGATTTTTGCTACCGGTTCTCCGAATCACCCGCCGCCATCACTACCGGATCGGGTGAACCGGTCCGAACCGGGAGTATTTCACCCCTGGATTAAACATAATTATTACCTTCAACCAATTTATGTTTTTCTAATAGCAATACACTTCTATCGTGTTTCCCCGAAAATAAGACCCTATCTTATATTTTTTTTTGGAATCCTGAAGTAAGCGCTTGGGCCTTATTTTCGGGGAGGTGCCACACGGTTCACATTGATTTGACATTTTTATAAAAAATTTAAAAAATTAAAAACTTGCTGTGAAGGAAAAAAAAAAAAAAGAAAGATCTTCCCCCGCTCTTTCAAGTGAGGAGGTGTTTTTCAGACCCCCCCTCCCGATACTCACTGGCCATGGAAAGCAACATGGCGATGGCGGCAAACGTTCCCGCCATTCCTTGACCGCTGAGGAACAGGGTGCTGTATCTTTGCGGAAAAGACCCCAGCAGGCCGAAAAGACTGCCTTGCAGGACGGCACAGAAGGCTGAGGAAAACAAAACGGAGGACAACGAAGTCAAAAACGAAACTGTTTTGTGTAGAGGAGGCAGTCCTCGACTTACGACCGTTCGTCTAGTAACCGTCCGAAGTAACAACGGCACCGGGAAAAGGTGACGTCTGGCCGTGTTTCACACTTCACAACCGTTGCAGCGTCCTGGCAGTCAAAATCGAGACGCTTGGCAACTGCTTCGTATTTATGACGGTTGCAGTGTGACGTGACCCCCCCCCCTTTGGCGACCTTCTGACAAGCCAAGTCCATGGGGAAGCCACACTCGCTTAACAACCGGGTTACTAACTTTTAACAATGGCAGCGATTCCCTGAACGACGGTGCCGAGGAAGGTCGTAAAACGGGGCAAAATTCACTTAGCAGCTATCTTAGCTTAACGACAAGAGGTTTTGGACTCCGTTGTGGTCGTAAATCGAGGACTACCTGTATCTCCGATCCCAGGGATGAAAAGAAAACACATTGCTGACAATAATCTCCTTTTGAACTGATCTCTTAAAGTCGGTGATTCTCAATTTGAGCCACTTTTAAGACACATGGACTTCGATTCCCAGAATTCCCCAGCCAACATGGCTGACTGGGGAATCCTGGGAGTTGAAGTCCACGCAGCTTAGGGCACAATTTCCCCAAGACTCAGCGTCTAACACTCCCCCACCCCCACTGGCATGCTGGCTAAGGATTCTGGGAGTTGCAGTCCAATAGATTTTGAAGGGACCAGGGTTCAAGCTCTTGACAACAACCCTGTGAGGTAGTTTGCCCAGAGGTGTGTTTTTTGGGTGCATGTGTGAGGCGAATGAGGATTTGAATTGAGTTCCCTGCCAAACCTCAAAATCTCAGAGATGTAAACCAAGAGGAATTAAGAGGTCCTTGGTGTGTTTTCTGTGCTTGGGGGGTTTTTTTTAGCAGACGTTTTATTACCAAGCTAGGTAACCTCATCAAGTGCTAGAGAGGAATGAACCAGAGCCAACTCACAGTTAATGAACCAGACGCTCGCCATGGTGATGGAGAAAAAACTCTGGGGTGACATCATCACCTTAACCAGGATGGCGGTCAGCACGAAGAGGAACAGGATCCCAGTCAGGCTTCCCAAAATGCGCACTTTGTCTGAAATGCTTTGCAAGAGAGAAAAAAGAACACGTGAATAGCTGGAAAAGTTAGTGCTGGCTACAGACATTCCCAGGAGACACCTCCCTTGAAGCTGGGGGAAAAAAAAAGGAAGACGTGAAGATATTTATTATTGATATCCCGCCTTTTTTTATTTTTACAGATAACTCAAGGCTGCAATCATATCCGACACACCGTCCTCCTCCTATTTTCCCCACAACCACCCTGGGAGTTGTGAGTCTATCCTTTCCCTTTCCCCCTGAACCCTTCCAGGCCTGCAAGCAAGGCCTTTGCAACGAAGAAGGACATACATTCAATTTTGCCGTTACTAAGATTGTTGGCCGAGCAGGGACAAAAACAGCCAGGGAAATAAGGATTGAAGCCTGGGAAACGGGCCCCACGTCGGTCAACAAGAGTGCTGGTTTACCACCAGCTTATCAAGTACTTGGGAGCTGAACACAAGGAAACAACGCCTGCTGCCAGCAGGCAGCAGATTCGGACAGTGAGGAGGTTGGGGAGGAACGTGGGCCAGTCCTGGAGTCTGAGGAAGGCTCGGATGAGGGCTCTGAGTCGGAGGCAAAGAGGGGGCCAGAGCTATCTGGTAGTTCTTTGCTGCCTCTGGAGTCTGACATCAGTGAGGCAGAGGAACAGCATGAGCCTGTTCCCAGTGTGCGCATGCACAGAGCTGCCAGGAGACAGGAACAATTAAGGAAACAGGGTCGACTTGGGAGTAAGGCTTGGAGGTGATTGGCCCCTCCCCATAAGACATAAAAGAGGAGTGAACGGGACTTGAGCTTTTACAGGAATCAATTAGTTCATCTGGTCGGTTAAAGCTCTGTTTGACGCTGTGCTAAGTTTGGCCTTGCCCTGCGTGTGGCAATTAGTTCTCTGGCAGCATTCCAAGGGAGATAAGGGGGGTGTTTGTAAACACTCCCCTGAAAGACTGTTTGAGAAGCCTTTCGGACTGGGAAGGACAATAATTCAGCCATTTGAATTAAAGAAGTTTGCCAGGAGTAAGTTTGTGCTGTTTACTTTCTAAGGAAGCCTAGGTCAGAACACTTAATAGCCGGCTATCCACATCCCAATCAACAACTAAAAAGCCACACACAACAAGCACCACATAAATACTACACACTGAATAGCGCAAAGCACATTCTGCTAAAGAGAAGTTCCCTGAAGAGAGGCTCCAGCATCAGTCCGAAAGCTAGGAAGACTAAACCTTTGGTCTCTGTAATCTAAGGGTGTCAAACTCAAGGCCCGGGGACCAGATCTGGCCCGTGGGGTATTTAGATCTGGCCTGCAGGGGCCACCCTGGAAACAGTGAAGGACCAGCCCGCGGTGCCTCTTTCAGTGAAAATAGAGCTCACAAGGGCCCCGTGCGGCTCTCCCGAGCTCAGTTTTTGCTGGCAGAGGGTTGCAGGAGGCCGTCGTAGCCAGAAACGGAGCTCAAGAGCCCGTTTTCTCTGGCAGAACACTTGGGCCACAACAGGTGACCCCGACGCGAGTGACGTCGAGCTGGCCACGCCCACCCCAGCCCCCCCCCCCGGATCAAACGCAACCCTGATGCGGCCCTCAATGAAATCGAGTTTGACCGATCCATCTGTAACCGATCCAGATCGGATCCTGCAAGGCCCTTCTCACTGAGAAAGTGACAATCGGGCCCAAAAGAGAGAAACGTGGTAAGAGGCAGCCGGCAAGTCAAACACAGAGAGAAAAGCAACCCAAACATAGAGAGAGAGAGAGAGAGGAAAAACGTGTCTCACCACCGGTAGAGGACGGAGTTGAGAAAGGTGAAAAGCAGCAAAGGCAACTGAGAAAGGAGGGTCAGCCAGTTACTGAAGCTGAATTCGTCTTCGCAGGCGGACGCCGGCTGGGAGTTCAAGGCTGTCTGATTCTCAGCTGTCTGATTCCCACCGGCTGGGGGTTCGAGGCTGTCTGATTTCCATCCGAGAGAACAATTCCCCCTGAGCCTGGTTTCGAAATACTGGCGGGAGACAAAGCGTTTAATTAGAAAGATTCAAAGGATGTCCTACGTGTCACAGCGTCCATTGTGCGGTGTCGCTGCTCCTTAGACCCCCATGGACCCCGAGGATGTAACAGGGATTAACTAGGTTTAACAAACCTAGTTTGATTTATCTTCCTGACCCCCTCCTCCCAGCAAAACAAACGTAATTAGGAAAAAAAAAAAAAAAGGAGTAATTGGGTGGAAAAAGCCCTAAGAGTCAGGAAATGGACTTAATTGGATGGGACCTTAGAGGTCATCTAGCCCAACCCTGCACTCAATGCAATCAGGCCTATCCTTCATGCCTTTCCATCCCACCATTGAGGTAGTCCTCAATTAAGAGAATTTCTGTTCCTAAGGGAGACGGTTGTTAAGTGAATTGTGACCAATTTTACGACCTTGTAAATATACGCCGTTTGCCAAGTGCCCGAATTTTGATCGCCTAGCGGTGGGGGTGTGCAGCAACCGTTATAAATCTGAGGACCGGTCATAAGTCATAACCCGTCATAAATAGGAACCAGTTGCCAAGCATCTGAATTTTAAATCATGTGACCATGGGGAGGCTGCAACGGCCGTTGAGTGTGAAAAACGGTCATAAGTCACTTTTTTCAGTACCGTTGCAACTTTGAATGATCACTAAACGAATGGTCGAGGATGAGCTACGTTAAAGCTCCTACACAGGTAGTCCTCGTTCGTTTAGTGACCGTTCAAAGTTACAACGGCACTGAAAAAAAGTGACTGTTTCACACTTACAACCTTTCTACCACCCCCATGATCATGTGATCAAAATCCAGATGCTTGGCCACCGACTCATATTTATGACGGTTGCAGTGTCCTGGGGGTCACGTGATTCTCTTTTGTGACCTTCTGACAAGCACAGTCGATAGGGAAAGCCCGATTCACTTAACAACCGTGTTACTACTTTATCCGCTGCAGAGATTCACTTAAACCAGGAGTCAGCAACCTGTGGCTCTGGAGCCGCATGTGGCTCTTTCACCCCTCTGCTGCGGCTCCGTCACTCAAAATATGCGTCACAACCGCCAATGTACGACACCCGCCGGCACACGATTTATTAAGCTTTTCAACCCCCAGTAGGCCAACCATGGATAAAAGAAAAGAAAAGTTTCAGAAGAAAACGGAACGTTTAATTCAACTACATATGCTAGTTTTGTGGCCACTCAAGAAAGAGTCAGGCACGGGAAGGGTTTTTGTGGCTCCCGGTGTTTTCTTTTCTGTGGGAAACGGGTCCAAATGGCTCTTTGAGTGTTTAAGGTTGCAGACTTAAACAACCATGGCGAGAAAGGTCGTAAAACGGGGCAAAACTCACTGTCTCGCTTAGCCACAGAAATATTGGGCTCAATCGTGGCCGTAAAGTCGAGGACGACCTGTAATCGTCACTAAACGAGGACCAGAAGGCAAAAAAACAAAGGACTTAAAGCGGAGCGTCTCAAGCCCTCCGATGGCCCCAGGACCGTCTTCCGAACGAAGGACTCACCGGAATGGCCGTGATGAAAAAATTCCAAGGAAGAAGAGTTCCTAAGCCCAGGAGAAAAAATATGATTCCCACGCGGTGGAACCTGGAAGGAGAGAAGCCCAATCAGATCACCGGACCTTGACTCTACCCACTGCACCACACCGCCAATCCAGTCCGGCTGGATTCCCACAAACCAAGCTAGAAACCGCAGTTTGCAAACCACCGTTGGCCGACGGATGGTTCTGAGGCAGGGTGACCCCGATGAACCATGGTTACGGTAGGGCTTAATGTGCAAACCCGCACACGTGGCATTGTTTGTCCCAGGAGTCAGGATTATCTACCAAATTATTGGAATACATTCTGGACTGGATTGGATTGAACAGAACAGAACGAAGTAGAACAACAGGAAAGAATGGAACAGAACAGAATGAGAAAATAGAATAGAATAGTATTCTGGAGAGAAGAGAAGAGAAGAGAAGAGAAGAGAAGAGAAGAGAAGAGAAGAGAAGAGAAGAGAAGAGAAGAGAAGAGAAGAGAAGAGAATTCTGAATAGAATAGAATAGAATAGAATAGAATAGAATTGAATTGAATTGAATTGAATTCTAAATATAATATTCAGAATAGAGTAGAAGAGAAGAGAATTCTGGAATAGAAGAGAAGAGAGAGGGAAGAGAAGAGAAGAGAAGAGAGAAGAATTCTAAATAGAATAGAATAGAATAGAATAGAATAGAATAGAATAGAATAGAATAGAATAGAATAGAATTCTGAATATAAAATTCAGAATAGAGTAGAAGAGAAGAGAATTCTGGAATAGAAGAGAAGAGAATTGAGAAGGGAAGGGAAGGGAAGGGAAGGGAAGGGAATTCTGAATAGAATAGAATAGAATAGAATAGAATAGAATAGAATAGAATAGAATAGAATAGAATAGAATAGAATAGAATAGAATAGAATTCTGAATATAAAATTCAGAATAGAGTAGAAGAGAAGAGAATTCTGGAATAGAAGAGAAGAGAATTGAGAAGGGAAGGGAAGGGAAGGGAAGGGAAGGGAAGGGAAGGGAAGGGAAGGGAAGGGAAGAGCTCTGGTGGCTCAGCAGACTAATTAACATCCTCTTACATCTGCTGCCTGCAATTACTGCAAGTTCAAATCTCACCAGGCTCAAGGTTGACAGCCTTCCATCCTTTCTAAGGGAGGTAAAATGAGGACCCAGATTATGGGGGCATTATCTCCCCCCAAAAGATGGATGGGTGAATGGATCAATTGACCGACGGATTACTGATAGGGATAGATAGATAGGTGGGTGGGTGGGTGGATGGATGGATGGATGATAGATATAGATAGACAGACAGACAGACAGACAGAGATGGAGAGAGAGAGAGAGAGAGGCAGACAGACACATAGAGACAGACAGAGATGGATAAATATTGATAGGGATGGATGGATGGATGATGGAGATAGATAGATAGATAGATAGATAGATAGATAGATAGATAGATAGATAGAAGATGGATGGATGGATGGATATAGACAGACAGACAGAGATGGAGAGAGAGAGAGAGAGGCAGAGACACACAGAGACAGATGGATAAATATTGATAAGGATGGATGGAGATAGATAGATAGATAGATAGATAGATAGATAGATAGATAGATAGATAGAAGACATAGAGAGAGAGACAGACAGACAAACAGGCAAAGGTCTCAAATCATGGTGACATTATTCATTCATTCATTCATTCATTCATTCATTCATTCATTCAACAAGTACAATGAAACAAGTAACATTATAGACATAGACATGGACACATATAAAAGGAAATCAATAAGCAAAACAGAGCCACAAACACATAAAATGAGTACATATAAATGGGAACAGTAGGGCAGGGACGGTAGGCACGCTGGTGCGCTTAATGTCTTGCTTAACGACCGCAACAAAAAAAGTCGACCCATGAATGCCTCGCTTATCAACTGCACCACTTAATGGCAAATGTCCTCATTTCTCCTCGTCAATCAAGGACTCCCTATGTGTGTGTTTGTATGTGTCACGGCCAAAGTACCGTGTTTCCCCGAAAATAAGACCCTGTCTTATATTTTTTTGAACCCCAAAATAAGCGCTTGGCCTTATTGCCATGCGCTCAAAAGCCTGATTGGGTTTATTATCAGGGGAATGTCTTATTTTGGGGGAAACAGGGTATACCTAAAGACCAGTGGTGAAATCCATTTTTTTTTACTACCAGTTTGGTGGGCGTGGCTTGGTGGGCGTGGCAGGGGAAGGATACTGCAAAATCTCCATTCCCACCCCACTCCAGGGGAAGGATACTGCAAAATCTCCATTCCCAACCCCCCTCTGGGGCCAGCCAGAGGTGGTATTTGCCGGTTCTCCGAACTGCTTAAAATTTCCGCTACCGGTTCGCCAGAACCTGCTGGATTTCACCCCTGCTAAAGGCTGCAAGCGACAGCATTGGCTTCAGGTTTAATCCTTCAGCAAACAGTCCGTATTTCATCCGGGGGTGGGGGAGGGGGTTTGAAGGAAATTCTCCAGGGGATGCACAAACAGCAGCAAAGAAAACCTCACAGAAATGTGGTCGGTTAACCCAAAAGCCAGAATGCGTGTTTGTTTTTGTTTTTTTAAAAAAAATAAAATATCATAAAAAGGAAATTGTTCAAATGATCCCGCCTAGAGGAAATGTAAAGTCATTAGTCAAATATGACTCATGGGCTGGCTGAGGTCAAATGCTGTGTATTTACTCCAAAAAAACCCCATGTTTTTAAATGTCCTCGAAAAAGCTGAGGTTTTTCCTCCTGATTCATTCGGCGGGTGGGGGAAAAAAAACATGGCCTTTATTTATTTCTAGACCTGAAAATGCAGTTTGCAGAAGTCCGAACATTCGGTGGGAGGGCAGAAACAGAAAAAGAAATCTTTCTTCACCAGCAAAATCTGACGATTTCAGAGTTTTGCCATCCTTATCCCGCTAGCAAAAAACACTCTACATATGCTCAGAGGCACACCCTCTAAGCACACAAAGGATTGTCTCGGGGCTGCTAAAATTCCTTTCCATCGAACGGCTGATGATGTTGATTTCGGGTTTCTAGGAAATCAACCCCAAACAAGAGCCTGTAGGATCGATTTTTGCATCCTAAGATTTTTCCAAGCACATCATGTCCTGGACCGGCCATTAAGCGCATCTTACGTTAAAGGAAACGCACAAATTGCAACTCACGCGTCTTTGGGTTTTTCCTGCGGGCTCATGATTAACCAGTTCCTTGAACCGTGAGCGGGAAACTACTGCAGTTCCTCTTCTATCAAACCGCAGCTGGATCTGGAAGGTAACAGAAAATTATTGAAAGAGGAATTCAGCCGAACGTCTCCCATCAGCTGAAGCTGACAGCTGGTGCCTTTGCCATTCGTAGAATCACAAGGGTAGAAGGGACTTTGGAGGTCTTCTAGTCCAACCCTCTGCTCAAAGCAGGAGATCTTATGTCATCCCGGACAAATTGCTGTCCAATTTTTTTTTCTTGAAAAAAGGATTAAAAAAAAAATTATTTGTAATATCCCACCTTTATTGTTTTTACGGATAACTCGAGGCAAGGGATAGATTGATAGTAGGTAGGTAGGTAAGTAGATAGATATGAGATGATAGATGATAGATAGATAATAAGAGATGAGATAGATAGATAGAAGATAGATAGATAGATATAAGAGATGATAGATAATAAGAGTTGAGATAGATGATAGACAGACAAGATTTTAATTTCTCAGATTTAAATAACTCGAAGCAAGGGATAGATAGATAGGTAGGTAGGTAGGTAGGTATGAGATGATAGATGATAGATAGATAGAATAAGAGATGAGATAGATAGAAGATAGATTATATAAGAGATGATAGATAGATAGATAGATAGATAGATAGATAGATAGATAGATAGATAATAAGAGTTGAGATAGATGATAGACAGACAGACAGACGAGATTTTAATTTCTCAGATTTAAATAACTCGAGGCAAGGGATAGGTAGGTAGGTAGGTAGGTAGATATGAGATGATGGACATGAGATGATGATAGATAGATAATAAGAGATGAGATAGATAGAAGATAGATAAATATAAGAGATGATAGATAGATAGATAATAAGAGTTGAGAGATGATAGACAGACGAGATTTAATTTCTCAGATTTAAATAACTCGAGGCAAGGGATAGATAGGTAGGTAGGTAGGTAGATATGAGATGATAGATATGAGATGATGATAGATAATAAGAGATGAGATAGATAGATAGAAGATAGATAGATAATAAGAGTTGAGATAGATGATAGACAGACGAGATTTTAATTTCTCAGATTTAAATAACTCAAGGCAAGGGATAGATAGATAGATAGATAGATAGATAGATAGATAGATAGATAGATAGATAGATAGATATAAGAGATGATAGATACGAGATAATATAGATATGAGATGATAGATGATACATAGATGATACATAGATAGATATAAGAGATGATAGATATGAGATGATAAGATATAGATGAGATGATAGATAGATAGATAGATAGATAGATAGAAAGAAAGAAAGAAAGAAAGAAAAAAAGAAAAAGAGATGATAGCTAAATAGATCCTACACACCTTCCTCCTTCTATTTTTCCCTACAATAACAACCCTGGGAGATGAGTTGGGCGGAGAGAGAATGACTGGCCCAAAGTCATCCAGCCAGTTTTCGTGGCTAAGGTGGGACTAGAACTTCCCGGCTCCTGGTGATTGGCCCAAAGTCACCCAGCCAACTTTGCTGCCTAAGGCGGGACTAGAAATTCCCATTCTCCTGATGATTGGCCCAGTCACCCAGCTCGTTTCCATGCCTAAGGCTGGACTAGAACTCCCCGTCTCCTGGTGATTGGTCCAAAGTCACCCAGCTGCCTTTTGTGGCTAAGGTAAGGACTAGAACTCACCGTCTCCTGCTCTCTAGCCTGATGGCTTAACCACTAAAGCAAACCAGCTCTCAATTCTTCTTTTTACTTTTGCCACCCTGATGGAAATAAGTACCTACTTACTTCCCCAAAAATAGGATTGCGCCAGCAATGAAAAAATATTATTGCACCAAAATAGCCCAAAATGAGGTGGTTTAAAATATTTGAGATTTCCAAATATAAAGTAATAAACCCTTGGCCCACAACACACCGATTTAACTTTGGTTGAAAAGAAGAAAGCGTGAATAATCGGTGTGACAATATCAGGGGATATAGATTACCAAAAATTGGGGCCGTGGGGGTGCAAAGTACTGGTAGTCCTCGACTTACTACCACAAAATTTATGTCACTAAGCAAGACGTTTGTTTTTCGTTTTTTAAATGTTTTATTTTTTATTATTATAAAATAATAGAAGATCATCACGAAATAGCTGTTAAGAGTATATATATAATGTTGTATATATTGTAGCGAGACATTTGTTAAGTGAGTTTTGCCCATTTTACAAAAGCTATCTGTATTGTCAGATATGTATGTATGTATGTATGTATGTATGTATGTATGACAGGTAGTCCTCAACATACAACAGTGTGCTTAGTGACCGTTTGAAATTACAATGGCACTGAAAAAAATGACTACGACCACTCCTCACAGTTACGACTGTAACAGCATCCCCATGGCCGTGAGATTAATATTCGGCAACTGGCACGTATTTATGACAGCTGCAGCATCATGGCCGTCATCCCATCGTCATTTGCCACCTTCCCAGCCAGCTTCTGACAAGCCAAGTCCACAGAGAAAGCTGGATTCACTTAACAACTGTGTGATTCGCTTAACAACTGCAGAGATTGGCTTTAACCCCGTGACCCCCCAAAAATAAAAAAAAAAGTTCGTAAAATCAGGCACGGCTGATTTAATAAATGCCTCACTTAGCAACGGAAAAAGATGGGTTCATTAATCATGGTCATAAGTCGAGGACTTATTCTTCTGTCTCACCCATAGTGGCAAGAAAAGAGATGTTTGTTTTATAGGTGGCATTTGCCACCGGCAAGGCCAGCAAAGATCTTTAAGAACATGTCCGCCAAATGTTGGGAATGTACTGTAATCAGATACCGGGCTCATACTATCATATGTGGTGGACATGTCCAAAGGGGAAAAAAAAAAATACTGGACGAAAATACATACATGGTTAGAGGAAATGTTAAAGCAACAGATAGATTTAAAGCCCGAAATATTTTTAGAATAGAATAACAGAGTTGGAAGGGACCTTTGGAGGTCTTCTAGTCCAACCCCCTGCTTAGGCAGGAAACCCTACACCACTTCAGACAAATGGTTATCCAAAATCTTCTTAAAAACTTCCAGTGTTGGAGCATTCACGACTTCTGGTGGCAAGTTGTTCCACTGATTAATTGTTCTAATTGTCCTGAAATTTCTCCTTAGTTCTAGGTTGCTTCTCTCCTTGATTAGTTTCCATCCGTTGTTTCTTGTCCTGCCCTCAGGTGCTTTGGAGAATAGCTTGACTCCCTCTTCTTTGGGGCAGCCCCTGAGATATTGGAAGGCTGCTATCATGTCTCCCCTAGTCCTTCTTTTCATTAAACTAGACATACCCAGTTCCTGCAACCGTTCTTTATATGTTTTATTCTCCCGTCCTCTAATCCTCTTTCTTGTTCTTCTCTTCACTCTTTTCCGTCTCCACATCTTTTTTACATCGTGGCGAGCAAAACTGGATGCAATATTCCAAGTGTGGCCTTATTATAAAGTGGTATTAACACTTCACACAATCTTGATTCTATCCCTCTGTTTATGCAGCCTAAAACTGTGTTGGCTTTTTTTTTTTTTGGCAGCTGCTTTTTGTTAGGTATACTACCAGAAAAATATGATCAAGGGGTTGTATATTTAATATTACAGGTACTGACAGCAGCAAGAATTGTATTTGCACAACAGTGAGACACAATATCAAGAGCCCTGGTGGCGCAGCAGACTAAAAGCACCGTTATTAACACCAGCTTACCTGCAATTACTGCATTTTTAAAATGTTATCTAATTTTAGGTTCTATTTAATTGGGCCAAACTATGTTATAATAATAATTTTAATTAGCAATTTTATGATGTTTGTGTATCTATATTTTTCTTGACTGTACACCGCCTTGAGTCCTACGGGAGAAAGGCGGTATAGAAATAAAATAAATAAATAAATAAATAAATAAATAAATAAATAAATAAATAAATAAATTACTGCAAGTTCAAATCTTACCAGGCTCAAGGTTGACTCAGCCTTTCATCCTTTCTAAGGTAGGTAAATTGAGGACCCAGTTTGTGGGGGCAATAAGCTGACTTTGTATAAATATACAAAAGGATGAAGGCTATTGCTTAGCGCATTGTAAGCCGCCCTGAGTCTCCGGAGAAGGGCGGCATATAAATCAAATTAAAAAAAAAAAAAACATTGGAAAAAAGGAGGAAATTCCCACATTATGAAAAACATAATTTAAAAGCGTATTAGATTGTGAGGAAATGGATGGGCTAACATTAAAAGATAAAAGATAAAAAAGACACGGAATATTATTTTTTTTAAAGATGGGATTGGTTTTTTTTTTTTTTTTTAATTTGATTTATATGCCGCCCTTCTCCGGAGACTCAGGGCGGCTTACAATGCGTTAAGCAATAGCCTTCATACTTTTGTATATTTTATACAAAGTCAGCTTATGGCCCCCACAATCTGGGTCCTCATTTAACCTACCTTAGAAAGGATGGAAGGCTGAGTCAACCTTGAGCCTTGGAGAGATTCGAACCTGCAGAAATTGTTGGCAGCTGTGTTAATAACAGGGTGCATTAAACCACTGTACTACCAAGGCTCTTTGGTAGTTTTGCCAACGGTTCGGCAACGAAGGTAGAAATAAGAAGTTGGAAGAATGCTACTTTCAATGAGTAAACGTTGTTACCATTACTGATATTATGTATAAGTAAATTGACCCAGACAATGCACTGTATAATTAAGCACTTAACGTAAGTTAAAAGAAAAATGTACAAATAACATTTATTTTTTTAAAAAAGAGAGAGAGATGTTTGTGCAATTCGGAGCAAAATTGAGAAAACTAGGCTGGGTCAAAGGCTTGTTGGTGCTGGGAAACATTTTTGTGGATTTTTGTTTGATCTAGTGCAGGGGTCGGCAACCTTAAGCACTTAAAGAGTCACAAAGGTCCTAACCAGAAGCCCCCCCCCTTCAATTCTAGAGCTGACCGGAAATCCGGTTTCCCCACCATAGAGTCTCCTCCTAGCACAGAATCCTTTTTCTCAATTGCGGAGCCGACCGGTGACAAGGAGTCGCAGAAGAGGGATGAAAGAGCCACATGCGGCTCCAGAG